ACACACCTTTTTGCCCCAAAAAAGAGGGTGAAAATCTGGGTGCGTCTTATACACTGAATGCAGCATTTTTGGCCTCCCAAAACCCTACCCCCTTCACAAAAATGGCTGTGCAGAGAGTTTGGGAGGCCTGCAAAGTCCTCCTGGGGCCTGGGGAGGGGGAATGAGCAAAAAATAACCAGTTTTTTGCTCATTTTTACCCTCCCCAGCCCCCAGGAGCACTCTATAAGCCTGCTAAAGGCTATGCATGCCCCTTTTTTAGCAAAAACAGGCCAGTTTTCATAAAAAGGCTGTTTTTTGCTTGGTTTTGCCCCCAGCACCCAGGAGCACTTTGCAGGCCTCTTAAACTCTCTACATGCCCCATTTTTCACAAACAAATGAGGCCTGCAGAGGGTGTGGGAGGCCTGCAGAGTGCAAAACCTTTAAAAAAAAAAATTACCTCTTCAAAATCTTGGTATACTCCAGTGCGTCTTATACTCTGAAAAATACAGTCGTTCTGACGTAAAATTCTTTCTCACCCTCCCCATAATTCCTTTCCTGAATACCTGCAGGATGGTGAAATTTTCAAGCACGCTATCCATCATTTGTTTTTCTGGTAGTGTTCGTAGTTTGCGAATAAAATTAATGAGGTACTCGCAGAGTGCTGAACGTTGCATACGGAAAACATAGCGGCCGTCTTCCCAGTGTGCAGGCTCGGCTGTCTGGGAAATGAAGGGGATGAAATGGGGCAGATAATGGAAAGAAAGACAGGTCAGAGAGAAGTCCCAAACCTACAACCATACATGCATTATTTTCAGGAATCAATTTTTTATTTTAAAAAAAATATGCCAGTGTTATTACTTTTAAAAGTAATTCAAACCAGCAAATATCTATAATATTCTTTCGTCCCCCTATTTTCTCCACAACAACAACCCTGTGAAGTGGGTTTGGGCTGAGAGAGAGTGACTGGTGCAAAGTCACGCAGATGACTTTTGTGCTTAAAGCGGGACTAGAACTCACAATCTCCTGGTGATTGGTCCAAAATTATCCAGCTGGCTTTTGTGCCTAAGGTGGGACTAGAACTCTCAATCTCCTGGTTTCTAGGCCAATATCTTTACCACTACTTCCAAAACAGGGATACTTTACAAAAATAACATGAAATTCATTATTCTAAATAAAAAACAAATAAAGGCAAATTTCATTGACAACAGGGACACCTTAAAAAAAGTCCAACACTACCACCCTGCCCCAATTCTTTTGCCTTTCTCCTTTCAGGTCTTGATAGCATCCATATCTTTCCATCACTGTCTTAAACCACTGCAGCTTTATTCCCCAAACCTAATTTTTTGAATCCCAAACCTTTTGCTTCTATAGGTGAACAAAGCTAAAGCTCTGATTTCCTGTTATTGGGCAACGACCAGACATGTGGATTTCAACTCCCAGATTCCCCCAGCCGCAAGGCTGACTAGAGCATTCCAGGAATTGAAGCCTATACATCCAAAAGTTGCCAAATTTGAGAAACATTGTAGATAAAATAGCACATCAAGGCAATGGTAGGATTTAGCCAGTTCGCACCACTTCAGGAGAACCGGTTGTTAGGTTTCTGAGCAGTTTGGTGAACTGGTTGTTGGAAGAAGTCATTAGGGCAGAGAAGCAGTTGTTAAATTATTTGACTCCCACCACTGCATCAGGGGAAAGATTTTAGCCATCCAGTTATTGCTATGGTAGTTTTCTGCCAAAAAATAATGTGTAACATAAAACCAATCCAAAACTTGTTCTGTATTATACCCCTGGAGTTCAATATACCAGCATACATATATAGCCTAAAACGCTTAATAATTAATGGCTTTTGAGCTCTGTTTTTTTTTTTAAACAATGCCTTTGATCTGAAAGCCTTTCCTGACCAAGCCCAAAATTAATCAATTCCTGGGGTTTCGTTTGCTTAAGATGCAAAAAGAGATGATTAGAGATGATTATATAGAACTCACATTCACTATGAGGGCCTGATTTAATTATGATACCCCCTGACGCGATAGATCCGATCTTAAAGTCAGCAAACAGAACAGATTATGATCTTGCTGGCTGGGGGATTATGGGAATTCAACTCCAGTTACATGTAAAGAGCACAAGTGTTAGAAAGACTAGTCTAGACCAAGACATTCACAGCGTGAAAAGTAGCCGTAGTTTGGTTCTCTGTATTGAGAGTCCTGAACTTTCTCTTGGAGAAGGATTGAGGAAACCCAAAGGAATTACAAAGAGATCCTCAGAGGAATTCCTAGCGAACTTTCTCCTATTGATTATTTCCCTCGCCCATTCTTTATCTTCTAAGATCAGGCAAGATGAACTTTGTGTGGTCCCTCCAGACTACAATTCTTTTGCCAACTCCGTAAGTCAGATTCCAAAATAGCAATAGCAATAGCGTTTAGACTTATATACCACTTTACAGTGCTTTAAAGCAGTTTACAGAGTAAGCATATTGCCCCAAACAATTTGGGTCCTCATTTTACCCACCTCAGAAGGATGGAAGGCTGAGTCAACCTTGATCCTGGTGAGATTTGAACTGCCAAATTGCAAGTAGCCGGCAGTCAGCTCCCAGTACTGCATTCTAATCATTGTGCCACTGTGGCTCATATAAAGTGCTACAGATTTTGTCTCTAGCCAATGAACACTGAGAGAAAAACCCCATATATTTGTGTCTATTTATTTTTATTTTATTTATTGGTCAAATGAAAATTATGAATTCAAGCAAAATGAAAAATAAATAAAAATAAAATGTGACAGGGATGATAGGCACATTAGTGCACTTACGCATACATCCTTAGGAATTAGTATTACAATAACAGAGTTGGAAGGGACTTTGGAGGTTTTCTAGTCCAACCCACTGCTTAGGCAGGAAACTTTATACCATTTCAGACAAAGGGTTATCTAATCTCTTCTTTAAAACTTCCAGTGGCTGAGAATCCACAGCTTTTGAAGGCAAGCTGTTCCACTGATTAATTGTTCTAACTGTCAGGAAATTTCTCTTCAGTTCTAAGTTGCTTCTCTCCTGGATTAGTTTCCACCCATTGCTTCTTGTTCTATCCTCAGGTGCCTTGGAGAATAGCTTGATTCCCTCTTCTCTGTGGCAGCCCCTGAGATATTGGAACACTGCTATCATGTCTCCTCTAGTTCTTCTTTTCATTAGACTAGACATACCCAGTTCCTGCAACCGTCCTTCATATGTTTTAGCCTCCAGTCCCCTAATCATCTTTGTTGCTCTTCTCTGCAATCTTTCTAGAGTTTCAACATCTTTTTTACGATAAGCTTCCCAGAAGTTGATTACAATTAAAATGGTGAAATTTTGTAGCAGAGACAACGTAATCAGATAAAATGTTCAAGGCTTTGATGACATTTTCAGTCTCCTTCACTCTTTCTCCTGGAGAATGTTATGTTGCCCCAGCAAGCCAAGGCCAGATAATGCTGTGCACACGCCAAATACAGTAAACAGATGTGGAACAAGGCAGCTTTTTAGCACAGTTGCATGCAACAACCTTGACATTTTATGGGTGGGTTTCTTAGCTATACATTTAAACATCCTGCTCCCCACATGCCACCCTGGCTTGTCCCAACATGGCCACCCTCATTTCTGCCCTCAGTCTCAGAGCTCCACCCTCACCTCACCCACCTCCAGTTTTTCCACCACCTGTTTGCCAAACGAGCAGACTTTGGAGGTGCAATTGAGAGTCAGAGCCCGTGGGCCCTCGTATCGACTGCTCACCCCATAGAAAGCCCCTCCTGAGCCTCCAGGTTCTTCTCCAAGGAGGGAAAAGCTTAGGTCAGCCTAGAGGCAAAAGATTGGAAAACAGAATCAGAAATATTTTTATAACTGACGCAAGGTTGGGACAAAGATTATTGAGTGTTAGTCTCTAAAGCAGTGGTCCCCAATCTTTGTGGCCCAGCTGGGAAGAGGAGAGGGGGACCGGTCTGCACAAGCAGTACACTGGCACATGTACGTGCAGCTCAATTTACATGAATCACAGGTATGCAGCTGAACTTGAGCAAATGCCAGGCTGGCGTGCACGTATGCGCGTGCCCATCAGCCTGTTGCTTGCACAGGTTGAGCTTCATTTGCATGCACGTGCTCCAGCCAGCCACTCACGTGACCCAATTCCAAATACGCCATGGCCTGGTAGTGTGCTGAGGCCTAAGGGTTGCAGACCCCTGCCCTAGAGCAGTGCAATGACATTCCCGGTTATTAAAGCAACATATCTATTTATTTCAGAAGCTGGGACAAAACAGCAGGTAAAAAGACACTGCTCACTGTATTGGCCCCGCTTATAATTTTCTTAGAAAATACAGGTAGTCCTCAACTTACGACCACAACTAGGACCAGAATTTTTGCTGTTAACCGAAGAGGTTGTTCAGTGAGACATGCCCAACTTTGCAATGATTTCAGCCATTTTTGTTAAATGAATCACTGCAGTTAAGTGACTCACATGGTGGTTAAGCAAATCCAGCTTCGCCCATTGACTTGCTTGTGATCCCAGAACACTGCAGATGTCATAAAGAGTGTCTCATTTTTGAGATCACATGACTACAGGGATGCTGCAACAGTTGTAAGGGCAAAAACAGGCCATAAATAATCTTTTTTTGAGTGCTGTTGTAACTATGAACAGTCACTAAACAAATTGTTGTTAAGTCAAAGGCTGCCTATATAGAATTCTGGATTAAGTGCAGCATATATACCAGAGTCTAAGAAAAGCATAAATAGTGAGAAGGAAGGGAGGGAGTGTACTGGGAGAGAGGAGTGGTAGAGGGGGAGGGGAAGTAGGGTAGAGGGGAATGTTGGAGGAAAGATGGAAAGTTGGAGGGGGGCAAAAGAAAGGGTGTATGGAGGGTTGAAGAGGTACATTGGGTTTCTATTTTGGGGGGTATTGTTGCCAAGAGGAATGGCTGTGTTTATTGCTTAATGTTATATGGCCCCGGTTATGCACAGTATATATGTGACTGTACGAAATGAAAATGGAAAATAAAAACACATTTACAAAAAGAAAAGCATAAATAATAAAAGCAGAAGCAAAAATTATTTCTGATTTAGCACAAGTGATAAATATCTTACATTACATTCACCTGTTGTTGATTTTAAAAATAATGATGTTATTTGAACATGAGGATGTGACTTGGAGCACTGTATTGTGGGAGAGTGAATATGTGGCTGGGAAAGTAATATAAAGATTTAATGCATCCAACAGTTCTAACATTTGTTCTTGATATAAAGTTGTCTAAGGTGACTTTTAATTATACCCAGGGTCAGAATCCAAATATCTCAGCAACAGTTTTAATGACAAAGCCTTCCTGTTTCTAATTTACTAGCTGTGAGGAAGTAGGATTTGAGGATTGCCACTCTTCATAATTGAAAAGGGATTTGGACTGAGGTCAAATACCAACCAACAAGATGACGTTTAATTCATTAGCTTAGTTTTAAACTCAGTCTTGAGAATGACTTGATTACTGCTGTTAACCAACAAGCACATGTGTATTTCAGCAAGCCATTTTGAGAGGTGCGAGATTACCGTCTTCAGATATAAGTAATCCTTGACTTACAACAGTTCACTTAGTCACCCTCAAAACTTAACAATGGCACTGAAAAAAAGTGACTTATGACTGTTTTCTACACTTACAAATATTCCCATCCTCATGTGATCAAAATTCAGATGCTCAGCAACTGATTCATATTTATAACAGTTGCAGTGTCCTGAGGTCATGGGACTACCTTTTGCGACAAGCCAAGTCAATGAGGAAGCCGGATTCGCTCAACAACTGTGTTACTAACTTAACTAGTGCACTGATTCACTTAACAACTGTGGCAAGAAAAATGGTAAAAGGGGACAAAAGTCACTTAACAGTGGTCATACTTAGCAACAGAAATGTTAGGGGCAAATGTGGTTATGTGTCAAAGACTACCTGTATAATCTAACTACCAGCTCAGAACATCTAAAATATGGATAAGCAACTTGCAAATGTTTGAACTACAACTCCTACAAGTCCTTGCAACTTGCCATACTAATCAGAGCAGATAGGGTTCAAAGTCCAAAACATCTGGAATACATCAGATTGGTTGCCTGCCTCTGCTTCAAATCTATCTACTGACCCCTGCTATCTGGATACTAATACCAACAAGACACACCGTTTCATGGGAGCTCTGACCATAGGTCCCAGGGGAACCTGCTTGCATTCCTGATGGTTTGGGAATTCAATGATCAAAAGAGTTCTTACCCAGAATTTAACCAAGAAGAAAGCATGAGGAGGGCCTTGATCGTACAGATCTCGCAGTCCACCTCCTTCCTCTGGAAATTTGTCATAGATTTGGCGTATGTCCACCATCTCAAGGGGTGGCTCACACATGGGTGTTGGATCAATGTGAACAAAACGATGCTGCTCCTTAAACTATGGAGAAGAGAAAGGGAAGCCAGAGCTGTCAGATGAACATAGCCTGCCTTATCTCACAAACTGCTTTCTGGAGCTCTCAGGAACTTGCTGAGAGGCAGGAGAGGCATGCCGGAGGGTGTCCACTCTGAATGCAAAGATGCACCAGAGGGAAAGGATGCTGCTTACTAGTGACAGCAGAGCGTTACACTATTGCAAGGTTGGGACTCATTCAGCAATTTCAAAATTTGCATGCAATGGCATCTCTCTAACATACTGTCATTAATAGGCCTAGCCTTTCCAACTTGGAACCCCTCAGACATCCTGGAATGAACTTTCAGTGCAGTTAAGTGGCCATGCAATAGGTCAGGGGTGTCAAACCCGTGTCATCATGTCATCATCACATGACGTATCAGGACTTTCTCCTCCTTCAATAACCCAGGGGTAGGCATGATGCATCTGGTCCGTGGGTCACAAGTTTGACACCCTTGAGACAGGTGAAGGTTTTTTTCAGATAAGCTTGCTAAACCAGCATAGTTTTCATACATGCAGAAGGGAGTTGAGAGACAGAAGTTAACTAAAAAGCAGCATCTGCACATTGGATTTGTATTTGTATGTATCCAACCTTTTTTGTTTGAAATTCATGCTTTCAAACCTTAGCGCAAGGTTCATCAATCTTGGCAGGTTGAAGACATGTGGACTTCAACTCCCAGAACTTAGCCAGTGCGGAATTCTGGGAGTTGAAATCCACATGTTTCCAAGTTGCCAAGATAGAGAAACTTTGCCTTAATGTGTTGGGTGAAACCAACTATTTATGATGTATTCAATAAATCATGGTTAAGCAAATGATCCTTAGCATAACTCATAAATACATTTACCTACTATTACTAAGACCTAAGCTAACATTTTCATCTCAAACTTCCTGCCAAAATCAGACGATTAGGTTTTACACTGTACAATTTTTCAGGTTTGACTTCCAGATGGTAACAGGCCTGCTAGCATCTTAAAGCTTAAATTCTATTTTTACTTCATTGTGTTCCTTTACCTTTGTTCCCAATTCATTCTAACTGATCGTGATAACCTATCTTTCCTCCAAGAACTCTGTCCTATTTATCCTGTCTTTCCTGGATGAAATAAAGAATATTTTTTTTCTTATGATTCTCTTAATAACTCTGGAGCATCAGGTAGGAAGACTGTTACTCTCCCAAATTGGTTACTGAGTTTCACATACCACGCAAGACTTAAAGCATCATTTCTCTAGCTTTAATCTTATAGTCAGTTTTGCCATTCCTGAAACTTTTCAAACCAAGTTTAGCAGATGTTAACAGCAAGGGAGCATTGAAGGGGTATATGTGCACCGGTTCTACCATAGCTAGTTCGTTCTGCCACTCCATAAAAGCAGTAAACTCCACCAGTCGAAGTGTTTCTGTACCAATATGACTCCTTGGCCAAGAGGTAGTTGTGCTGGGGAGACAAGAGTCCATCCCTGGGGTTGTGGGATAACCTGAAAAGCCAAGAGAAAAAGACTTGTGGCTAATGGAACACATCCCCATGTTTAGTAGTATAGGCAGTCTTCACTTAATGATGGTAATTGGGACCAGCAAACAATACAGTTATAAAGAGTGACATTATACCACTGCATTGACTTATGATGGCAGTTGTGGCAGCCCCAGTTGCTATTGTTAGGCCAATCCTGCATGGTTACAGCTTCCCGTGTTTATGGGATTGCCATTTGCAATCTTCTGCTGGCTTCCTCATTGACTTTGCTTATTGGAAGCCAGCAGAGAAGATCACAAATGGTGATCACATCATCACAAGAAGCTGCAGCATCATAACTGCAAGTTGGTTGCCAAGCATCTGAATTACAATCATGTGTCTATGTGGATGCTGTAACGGTCACAACGATGAGGACCTGTGTAAGTCCCCTTCGTTCAGTTCCAATCGTAACTTGGAACAGTTGCTGAATGAATAGTTCTTCCACGAGGACCACCTGTAAAGTAACAAATGGGTGAAGGAAATAGGAGTAATCCTTACCTGGGGCAGCAGTTGATGCTGCAATTGGTGTGATGGAATATGGGGCCTGGAGGTTGGCCTCGATACTGAAGAAAGGGAGGACACATAATAGTAGCAATTCAGCAGAAAATGCTCCAGAGATAGACATAAACATGCTGGTTGCAAAAAGATCAATCCAAAACTTACTCTGGAGTAGTTTGGCCTTGGTTTACATCCCCAGCCCAGAAATGGAAAAGGTCTGTGGGTTGCTGAAACCAGAAAGAACATTTAAAATATTCCTACCATTTCTGCATTATATAATATAAAGCAAATTTCTTTTGCAAATATGGAAATGTTATTTAATTGACTCAAATAGTACCCATGATTAAACGTAATGATAATTAGTTTTTAAAGGCATGCAAGTTTTAGAGATTGCAAACACCAAGTTAGAAAAAGCATTATCTTATATCAATAAAACAGAATACTTGCTATGATAGAGGCATAAATCATCAGAAAGCATGATTTGCTTAAAAATATTCTGATAAACCTGATGCCAATTTATCAATTAAAGGTAGTCCTCAATTTATGACTATAATTGAGCCTGGAATTATGGTCATAAAACATGCCAGTCATTAAGTAGTCATCATGTGACCAACCCAATTTAGCAGCTTTTTGTGTTGATCATTACATGAATAGTCATGATTATTAAGCAAACCCATTGTCTTCACTGGGCATTTTGTGCTGGAAACCAGAAGCAAACGCCAATTTCCGACACAAAATGTCATAAATCATGGTGATGTGACCACAGGATGCTGAAAACAGCTGTAAATATGGACTTCCTAAGCTCCCAAAATACAATCACATAACTGCAATGGGGGACTGCGCATCAGAACTTCGACTCTAGGTCATAAGTATCTATTTTGGGGTCTGTTGCAAGTCAAGGACTACATGCAGAGGCAAATAACTAAAGTCAAGGACTATCTATAGAGAGCCATATAACTAATCAACAGAGAGTTATTTCACCAGACAAATGTCCTACTTAAGCAAGTAACTTAACAATATGGTCTTCCCTCAGACAATGCTTTCAGAAAAAGCATGGAGAAAATTCCTGGAAATCCCCCAGATTCTTTAGGGGAAACTAAGCGTTAAATGCAGAAAACTCCAATCTGAAATCTGCAGCATGAGAGTTCCCCCAAAAAAGAGCTCGAGAGAAATCCCAGCTCACAGCTTTTCCCCTCACATAATGCTTACAGTGGTGGTGCTGGATGGATAGTTGGGTTCAGACAGGCCTAGTTTCTCCTGGAGGACAGTGGCCGAAACAAGCTGAGCAGAAGACATGGCTGCCATACTCTGCAGTGCTTTGTCCTTTGCCACTTGATCCTGGGAGGCAGAGTGAGGCAGGAAAGAGAGACGCATTCTGTGTTTTAGGAGATCATTTCTCTTGCTTTATGAACTTATGTTGCCCTTTCCACATAAGATTGCTCTACCAAGGAAATCTTGCATACATTGAAATTGCTGTGGGCGTCCTGAGAAGTGTCATTCAGGGATATCCACAACTTTGCCTGCCTGCCTGCTTTCCTTCCTTCCTTCCTTCCTTCCCTCCCTCCCTCCCTCCGTGCTCCTAGCACTCCTTTATTCATCACCAACCTCACACATACATACTTGTCAACTTGCTGCTCGCACGGCCCAGTTCCCCTATCTCCCCCACCCACCAGTTAGATCGCCAAGCCGCAAAGGTTGAGGACCACTGGTATTTGGTTATATATTTTTACTGGAATGCAGTCAAACTCAGATACCCGAAACTATCTCTTTCCTTATCTGCTGTGACCCTTTCAACCTGCCCTGGAATGGATGGGTACAGAAGATTAGCAAAAGATGACATTTTGCATAAATACTGACTTAAGATACTTTATCAGGTACAGAACCAATAAAATATTAATACAGTGTTCACCCAGTTCATTATGTGTCATTCGTTCAGCAGGACAGTCATATGAGCTTAGCATGAATTAGTCAAAAGTGATAGGAAATCTCTCACTTTGAACTTGGTTTGAATTTCTCGTGTTTTTCTCCGGGCCAACACCTGGATGTGACTGGAGACCTGAGAAAGGATTCAGAGAGAGATAAAAAACATAAAACGGTTTGAAGGAGAAAGTGGCAGATTTCATTCCAGCTCCCTCAATTCTTATGGCTTACAGCTCTCGGTCCAAACCCTCTTGTTTACCTGTTTTCTTGTCCGTATTTTCCCAGTCCTCAACTTGATGTAACGGGCAATGAGCTCATTACGACCTGCAAGAAAAGAAAAGAAATGGGAAAAGAGAAAATGAGAAAAAGTTGGAAAATAAAAAATATTATCTGCCATTGTGAGGTCCATTATTGGTAAACTAAATGGCTATATTAGCAGAGGGAAAACTTGGATCTCAGATGTCTCAAATTCTGGATCATTTGGATAAGTAGGTACCCAGATTTTATATTTTAGAGATAGCTAGCTATCTGGCTGGTTAGCTGATGGATGGATGGCTGAGGAGTGAATGGATGGATAGATAGATCTGCCCATGTCATGTACCATAAATCTGAGTATACACAGAACAATGTCATTAAAAACACAACAAAAGCTCCCAGCACTCCAAATACATTTCTACACACCCAGATTCAAATGTTATTGGGCTCTTAACTTCACTCATCACTCTGGCTGGAGAATTCTGGGAGTTGAAGTCCACATGTCTTAAGGTTGCCAAAGTTGAGAAATATTGTTATAACTCTAAAATGATGGTTCTGCTTTGATTTTTTTGAGAGCCTCGAGAAGATTCATTGCACACAATTTTGCTTCATTCAGGACTATGCCATCCGAACAGCTGACTTTGCATTTATCTTTATGTCTTTGGAGAGATTAGAAGCTTGTTCATTGTTTTTTTTAAATTGAACCTAATCCTATGTATTTTTTTAAAAAAATGTATTCTGTAGTATCCACAATCATTACCATAAGGAATCATAGGGTTGGAAGGGATCTTAGAGGTCTTCTAGTTCACCCCTACTCAGTGCAGGAATGGAAATTCTGGATAGGGCTCACATGTCTACCTACCATACATCTTCCCTTCATCTGAAAGAATGATTTTGCGCCTCCCGCAGGGTGGGTAAATTGCCAGCGCCTCCTGGAAACTCTGCTCGATGTCCGGGCTCCACACTCCTTCTGCATCATTATCCAGAACTTTTTCCCCAGCATCCCCCATCTCTCTGGAGGGGCTGGTCGCCTTTGCCCAGCTCTATAATGCCAGGAGAGATACCTAGAAGGAGAGAAGCCGAAGAAATGCTGAATCTGAATTAAGGCTTCGCAAAGCCAATTCAACATCAGCAAAAGAGAAAGTGGTCCATTCAAGGAACGGTTTCCAATCTAATCTTTTCTAGATACAGGTAGTCCTAGACTTACAACCATTCGTTTAGTGACCATTTAAAATTATAACAGCATGGAAAAAAATGACCGAAGTTCATTTTCACATCTCCCTGGTCATGTGATCAAAATTCGGATATATGACAATTAGCATATATGGTAATTGTAACATCCTGGGGTCATGTGATCACCTTTTGTAACCTTCTGATAAGAAAATCAATGGGGAAGCAAGATTCACTTAGCAACTGTGTTACTAACTTAACAACAGCAATGACTCAGCAAATAACAGTGGCAAGTTGGGGCAAAATCCACTTAACAACTGCCTTGCTTAGTAACAGAAAATTTGGGCTCAGTTGTGCTTCTAGGTTGAGGATTCCAATGGATTACCATTGGATTGCAGATCCTATCACGTTGAGCTAGCAGAGTCAAAACAGAGGTGTTGAAGTAGGAAAAAAAAACTAAAAACCAGCTCTCCACACATCCTCAATTTGGGTCTCCCAGTTTTATTGCTTTGATCATACATTTGGAGCTGGTGGAGGAGAGAAGAACTGGACTCCACCATCATTTGAGGGCCCAAAGCCAAGAACATCAGAGATACATGATTTTGTGTGGCCGCTCTGAAAAGACAGAATGTTTGCAAAGCTGATATAAGTGAAGAGAGAGAGCACCGGCTTATAGATGGGCTAAGAACCAGACCTTCATAAGAGTTGGCATCATTTATTCTAGACCAGTCAGGCTTGAAAAACAGGGTTCAGTTCTCTTGTTTTAGAAAGACAACAAAGAATTTGGTTGCTGACAACCCATCACTATGCACACTTTGTTTTCACCATTTTTGTTTAAATAGGAAGATGGTATCTGTTGGTATAAAAAAAAATTCCTTCCTTCCACCATATTTACAATCCACCCTAATCCCAAAATACTCAGGGCAGCCCTCAAAACCATCCAAGAGAAAACCAAAACCATCATCATAAGTAAACTTGAACAACAACAAAAATAACTACTACAAAAAGCAAAGTTTAGACTCCAGATAAAAATTAAGTTTGACTTACACTCAGCTGGGACTGAAGATTGAAACAAAACAATTTTAACCTTTAAAAAAAATATGTGGTCTGAAAAAAATCTTGTCTGAACTCTAACTTTAATTGTGTATGAACTATTTTCTTAGGCGAAGAGAGCGGAAATTGTGATCTTTTTGAGTTGCGGTTTGGGACAAACGGAGTTGGGAGGTGCGTGGGAGAGGGAAGGGCAGCGAAAGCTTAATTAGACTACATGGGGCTAGAACGCAAGCTGATGTTTGTTTGAGTTCTTCGGTTAAGAAAGCATACTGTCTCCTTGTTCTTAACATTTGAAATGGTATCTCCTTAAAAACAATCAAGTCGTCCCCGTCAATTCTCAACCTCTTTCCGTAGAGCCTCTGTAATATCTCATTTCTAGATTCCCTTGTAGTAAAGTATATTATTAT